TCCACTCCCAGAGAGTGGGGTCGCTCGAGACGCAGGGATCCACTCCCAGAGAGTGGGGTCGCTCGAGACGCAGGGATCCACTCCCAGACAGCGGGGCCACTCGAGACGCAGGGATCTGCTCCACAGAGGGCGGGGCCGCGTGAGACGCAGGGATCTGCTCCACAGAGGGCGGGGCCGCGTGAGACGTAGGGATCCACTCCCAGAGAGCAGGGACGCTCAAGACGCAGGGATCTGCTCTGACACGGAGACCTTCCGTTTCTGAACCCGTCCAGGCCCCGGTACTGTACTAACTCAAACCTGGAAAGGCTCAGCCTGCTCCGCAAAGCGAGTGTCTGTTAAAGATACAATCTGCTGGAGCTCTTCCTGGAAGGAAGGCGGGACATGTGGGGATTTTTTAATGTAATCATCAAAAAAATAAATAAAACGGGAATCTGGGACGAACTATTGAGCGGGTTGGAAATAGTTCTTACTGATTTTGCAAATCTAAAGTTAGACTGTCACAACAAGGTGGTATTAACTGACCAACACAGCAGAAATGTGCCTGCAGCAGCTAAGGTTACACACGCACATACGCAATCATGCACACACGTGCACACCAGCCCTCAGCTCCAGGACGAGTGCAGGCAGCAGCAACATGAACACCAGCCAGCACCTCCTGCTGCACATCCAGGCAGGAATGACCCATCCCGCCCCTGCAGGCCCCCAGTCGGGTCATCTCATTAGCTGTCTCACAGATACAGGCATTGCACTTTGAAGATGAGCAGAAGCTGGTTCAAAGCCTTGTTCAAGAAATCTTAATTCCAGTTACTGGTGCACTGCTGGAAGACGAGCATCGTCGCGGGTGAAGGGCAGACAGTCGGGGCCCGGGGGCAGGTGTGTCTCATCAGCAGAACCTGACACCTCCCGCAGACCCGCGGGACAGCGCCGGCTCCCTTCAGCTCGTCTCGGCCGGCCCTGCCCATCCCCGTCCCGCGACACGCGTCCCGATCCCTCCCTGTCGAACCCCTCGGAACGCAGCCCAGAAAGCGAGTTCGTACAGGCCTGGTAGTCGT